CAGCTCAGAGTGAAATTAGTCTCCAGTAAGATGCCGCTTGGCGGAGTGATGGAGCAGTCCCCCCCTCTAGGGGGTATTGCTGTAGGGGTTATTGCTGTAGGGGTTATTGCTGTAGGGGTTATTGCTGTAGGGGTTATTGCTGTAGGGGTTATTGCTGTAGGGGTTATTGCTGTAGAAAAATCGTAAGTATTACTATCAGTCCCAATCCTTACACCTAATAGAACATTAACAGAGTCAGGGGAAAAATTCATGCGCCATACAGCTGCTCAATTTCTTGCAATTACCGGTACAGAAAAGTTCTAAATAGACCTGTGATATCTAACACCAGGAGTTCCAGATATATTGAAAGAAAATAAAATTTAGTCGAAAAATTAGAATGCAGCGTGAGCTGGAAAAGCAAGATTATAAAAAAAGGAGTATACTCATGCAGGTTACTTTAATGAGAAATCTAAGCAAAATATTCGCCGCATTTGACCCTTTAACTCCCAGAAGTGATTAACATGTAACATCTCCCTGTGACATCCAACTAACCGAGAAATGTGTGGCAGCTAGAGGGGAAATTAACAATTAGATCTTGGAAGTTAAAGGGTTAAAAGTTTTTTCAACATCTACATGTGCTCGTACACATGCATTAACAGCTTTAATGTTGACAAAACTCGTACTTATGCAGATTTCCTATATACTCATGTCATGACTTCAAAACTTAAAATAAATTTCAAATTTTTATTTATTCAGTTGAGGTTATTTAGATCAAATTGAGTCAAACGTTCTTGCGACAACACGATCAAGACTTATGTACAACTACCGGTAATCATGGGAAATGCAAACGGCGTAAAGGTTCGTAATTTCAAGGTTGTCACCATTACTCAATTTACAAAACTTGAATGGAACGGATATTTTATAATAAGTGGACGCTAGCGAGGACCTTTTTGGTTTCCTTTCAACACAGGTTTTACTAGATGCGTTATAACACCTCAAGTCTCCGCTGTTAAGAAGTGCTACACTGAGTACATAGGATATAGTGTATAGTATATAGTATCATACCTTGCTGCGAAAGCGATGGCGAAGGCGAAGGCGACGGCAACAGCAACGGCGACGGCAACGGCGAAGGCGACGGCAACAGCGACGGCCACGGCGACGGCGACGGCGATGGCGATGGCGATGGCGATGGCGATGCTTAAGATGGATGAGAATGTTAATCTTCGATTAGAACGACATGTTAACCGAGCTCTTTTTTACTATTTACTGTAGATACTATCATACCTTGCTGCCACGGCAACGGCGACGACGACGGCGACGGCGACGGCGACGGCGACGGCGACGGCGACGGCGAAGGCGATGCTTAAGATGGATGAAAATGTTAATCTTCGATTAGAACGAGATGTTAACCGAGCTATTTTTTACTGTTTACTGTATACAGTGTCATACCTTGCTGCGACGGCGATGGCGACGGCGATGCTTAAGATGGATGAGAATGTTAATCTTCGATTACAACGACATGTTAACCGATCTCTTTTTTGCATTTTAGGGCTTTTCTCCTGGCACAGGTTTGTAAATTTTTCAACAAATTGGGTAGCGAATGACAGGGAACGCAAACGGTAATTTTAAGCTTGTCACCATTACTCAATTTATGTTTTGTACTTGGGACATATTTCACGCCATTATAGTGACCAACTCTTCTTACTTGCAGATTTCCTATAAACCTGTGGTATAAGCCTCATGTGATGACTTCAAAACTTTGATGCTCACTTAAAGGAGAATGAAAAATAAATTCCATATTTCTACTTATTCAGTTTAGGTTATTTAAATCAAATTGAGTCAAACGTTCTTGCGACAACACGATCAAGACTTATGTACAACTACCGGTAATTTATGAGTGTTAGCCTACCTGGAACGATAACCTTCAAATACAGTTTACGCATTAATCCTTAAAACCCTTCTAACAATGACTCACATTTAATCTCTCCCCACAGTACCACCCCTGAGTCACACATTAAGCCCATGAGAATAAAAGAGATGATCACCAACCCTAAGAAGCTTTTGATTGTTCTCCTTGATTCAGCAACTTGGGAAACGTGTAGAGAAAAGTCTGGAGAATATGCATACAGATGTTAAGGTGCAAAGGGTTTATATTGTATCTGCTGACAATTTTTCAGCCGGATGCTTTTCAAGTTGTGAGAGCATTGTTCCAATTTCATTTAAGAGAATTTATGAGAACACCCTCTCATCAGACCAGTCATGAATTATTTGAGGGGGAGATAAAGTCAGCGATACGAGGGCAAACTGTCAAACAAATAAGGAGATTATCATCTCATCCCTGTCTCATTCACCGTGAATAAGACAATGTTAATGACTGTTACTTGTTATCCAGAGAAAGGTAGAAGTAGGATGTGGTTTGGAAAACTCTCCAAATTATTTTTTTTTAAACCTATCAAGTTATAGCTCTCATATTCTTGCTTTCTGCACTATGTGGATGTGAATTGATTCAATCTCCATGTGTCAAAATATAAATAACGTACTCATCCTTTTTACACCCCAAGATCATTGTGTATATTCTCAACAATATTCTCTGTGCATTTCCTAATGTTCTGAATAAGATAATTTGTTAAGCAATCAAGAGTTTCATCTATCGACCTTAATGTTTGATTCAGGGGTGATATTGTAAGGAGAAATAGGATGCTAGTCACCCACAGGGGGTGAGAGGGATAATCTATGTACCCCTAAACATTAAAGGGAAGGAGGCAGGTCAAAATAAAAACATGACGTCAAAGAGGAGATTGCCCATGAATTTCAGTCCTAATTAGAAGAGGATTATTGGTTTTCCAGATTTTTTTCTTTTTAAACTCAAATATCTTGTGATCAATTGATTAAATCAAAGTTTCCTTTAAAGAATGGGTTAACAGCGTTTGTAAGAGCACCACTTTTGAAATCTTGAGCATGAATATTTATTGCCGTCCAATTTACATATTATAACGTGGTAAATACTGCAAAATTAAATAATTGCACAATTCTTAACAAAGGATGACAGACTACAGACTCAGCTCCAACAACTTTTGAATACAACTATGATTAATATAAGTGAAAAGTTTGAGAGCTGACAAATAATCATTACATTCATTGAACCTTATGCATTCTAACAAAAACAGGGTCAATAGCTCCAGAGCTTCTCTCATACATTCGTGTTTACAAAAAAATCATTAACTTTTTTTCTCAGGGGGTGAGGGGGGTTCCACTATAAATAAAGTAGTTGTGCCAATCACAAATACATCATTTCAGTTCTCATTGTACAGGTCAGATGAAAGGTACATTCCTGTATAGGGACTGACATTTCAATTTCCTCTGTCAGCAAACTGTTATCATCAGAAGTACAAGCCAAGACGTATTTACCAATTAAGCGCTCAAGTTTCCCCAAAAGTCACCCTTGTTACGAAGAGTAGATTTCACTACTTTTCCGGGCCATCTTCGGCTGGACCATCCTGTTACATGTGAAAACATAAAATGTTACTCTCATGTTTAAATACTGAGCTGAATAAAAAATTATTACTTTTTTACAACCCGCTTCCTTTAATTGTCCTCCAGAAATACTAAATGATGTTGCATCGAAGAGAAATGAAGAGAGTTACTGAAGTATTCCATTTAAAGATAATTCATCCTTGATGTTGCCTCGAAAACATCTCTTAATCTAAATTACAGTTACCATTTCATGCAAACAAGCCATGATGAAACAGTATCAATGAATAAATCTAACCAAGTTTATAACATAGCTAGTATATTTGTCTAATCAAATTCAATTGCGCGAGCGTGTTTCATATTCCTATTGTGCACGCTCATGACGTCAGCAAACAAATCCCTCGAGAAAAAAAATTTTCCATCTGGTTGAAAATGTTAAAATAATTGGTTCATACGTCAGTTGTGCGTTCATCGATGAAGCACGCAGAAAGTTTGGAGAGCACTCAAAAAGCTGGAGTTGCTCACGGCTAAGCGTCGAGCAACTCTTGCGCATCTTTTGTGCTCTCTAAACTTCCCGCGTGCTTCATCGATGAACGCACGCTGACGTAAGAACCAATTGTTAATTGAATTGATGAGTAGGAAAAACTTCAAACATATCACAAGTCAATCACCAATAAAAACAAATGTTTCAAAATTTTATGATCTTCATGTACAGGTATATTCACTTCAGTTTGATTTTTTAGCTCATTCATGCTGAAAGCAATGAATGAGATATTGAGGTAAAGCAGATGTTGACGGAAGTTCTCGACCGTAGACGGAAGTTGTATTCCGTGGACGGAAGTTGTATTCCGCGGAGGGAAGTTGCACTTCAGACTGTCAACGGAAATAGTCTCGCATCCTACCCCTCCCCACTTGGTAAAAATCTAAATTAATTTCGGTGAAGCTCAGAAATTCACTCGGAAAAAAAATAAAATGTTTGTAGGGTTTGATAAAGATAATAACTACAAATTACAGTTCCGAATTTCTAAAAATGCAACTTGAATTGAGAAGCCAAAATGTCCACACCTAGGGGACCCGTAGGGAGCTCATTTCAACACGCTGTGATCACGCAGAAGGGTATCAGAGGCGGCCTGTTAAGCCGCGGAAGCGTTCGTCTTCAGTTGATATAAAGTAATCATTGCTCCATGATTGTGCTTGTCCTCGGGAGCTCTTCAACATACAGTCCACACATCAATCATAGCGGCCAAGATAGTCTCGCTCGAACAAAAAACAGCAATACAAATCCGGTCGGTAAAAAATGCAGACTGCAGACTGCAGACCGGGTGCGAAATGCAGACTACGTACAAAATGTAGACTGCAGACTGGGTACAAAATGCAGACTGAGAATGTATATTTTTTCTTGGTCCTCAACGTTCAGGGGTATACACACACTGATTTGCGCATATGTGCCTTATATTGTTATAGGCTTACATGAGGAACCACCCCACAAACACACACACACCAACAAAAAGGACACTGCCTGCCTAATTACTTCTGCCCATCCCACCTCCAGCCAACATAACCTTTTTTCCGATTCCCATCACGACGAATGCACAAGTTTTCTTAACACACAACTGCGCAAAAATAAAATAAAATTTATTCCAAAAGTCTTGAAAGTTCACATAAACCGAATTTAACTGTACCTTTATTCAGCAAGTCCAAGAAATCAATGCAAATGAATGCGCTGGCTCCAAGAGCCCTTTGATTTGGTGCTGTGTGCTTTTTCTTGCAAACATATATTTTTAGTATCTGTAAGTGAGTAAAATTTGAGAAGCAATATTTTACAAGCTGACCATTTGAGAAGAAGTCTACCTCGGTAATTTACAATTCAATTTACAATACAATTCAAGGAAACCCTTTCCAACTGATTGAAGATTATTTGATCAAAAATATGAAAGGCAATGGAGGAAATTAGCTAGCACAATTGAAGTTTCCCTTCTGTATTCTGTGATTTTTTTTTCTTTCGGATGATAAAGTTTAACTTTAGAATTTCCCTAATTTTACTGTTGAAATTTTGAAAAAACTTTGAGTTATTGACGATTATTTGTGGCCGTAAGATTGCAAGATGTGAGCAAGATTGCAATACGTTCAGCCTTGCGTGAAGAACCCTTGAGTGTTTGAGTGTGTTACATCTACACCAATTTCAGATTGCTGTCCTTCTTCAAAGTTTGGAAAAGAACTGTTGACTTACTTTTGTAAATGATTGAATCGTTCTTTTTCAAGTCCACTAGGAAGCTCAATTTTATCTCAAATTTTTCTTACAACTTAAATGTGTTCGAACATGGAAAGAAAAACAGACGCCTGCTGCTACTTCACAAAATGTGTTATTGCAGACAATTTCGCCATGGGAAATAAATGACAATTTGAAACGAAAGAAGTTATAAAAAACCAGTCTGTCGTCGTTAGGGTAGCTTATTGTATTGATTTCACTGATCGAGTACGTTGCTTACTGCTAAAATTTGCTAAGAATTTTGGATTTAACAATGGCGTGCTTAGTTAGAGAATGTCCGTCGTGACGTAAAGACGATGTTGCGATTTTTAAAAAGTTTAGCCTGGTCTTTCCGTGCGGAAATGCAAAGGCCTAAACTAATTTTTATATCCTCGAAAACAATACTTATTCCACTTATTACGAGCTTAATCTGAGCCGATACTGAGGTATACCACACAGGGAAAGTATTAATTTGAAAATTGCTAGGAAATAAGATATTTGTATTTTGAAATATTGGTGATTTGCAATGGCGTTCCGCGAGCTTCAAATTTAATGAAATGGTCCCGTTTTAAACTTAAAACATTCGTCAATCCTTCAAATCTGTCAAATTGAGAAGAGCTTGCTTTCTTTTGCACTTTTCACGAGCAAAGTTCATTTGTCTCAACTCGGGGCATTACTTTCCGCCAAGTTACGGCTACCGACGCTCGTTTCAGTTTTCGCAAATTTTCCAGAATAAAGAAGCAAATCTGGGCGAGAAACTTTACCACGTTTCTAAGTTCACTATACAGAATATCTGACTTAACTTTAAGGTTAGTCATTTTTGGGTCGATGTGCTACCCTTCACGCGGCCTTGAAAAAAAAATCGCTCTAAAATACCGATGCCAAGAAGTGCGAGGGGCAAATAGAATGTGTACAATTATGAAAGACATTTTGTTAACAGTTTTGAATATGTAGAGTATTGTTTGAATACGTCACTGTTGTAAAACCGTAATGAATTGTTTAACGATTGTTAAAATTGTTTTGGGACTTAGCGTAGGGGAAAACTAGATAAGCATCAACTTACCTCCTGTCTCTCCTTTCTCGGCTCCTCTCTAGTTTGCTTTTTCTTTGTTGTTGACCTCTTTTCAGTCCTTTTTTTTTTCCGGAGCTCTTTGTCTTTCCTTCTCACGTCGCTCTTCGATAGATATTCGCAGTTTCAAATCAGTCTTTTCATGTCGTCTTTAGCGTTTCTCTTGCAGTGTAATTACCGAGAATCAATGAAGCTTTCAACTACGAACTGATCAGTATGACTTTCCGCTCAAAACGCCAAATTCCTTTGATTGCGCTGCTTAAACTCTGCTAGCCCACGTGAAGCCCTCTGTAATCAGTAACCAGGTGCCCGCGGTACGCTGCACGAACTCTGGTAAATGCGTACTTTATCACTCTGTATCTAAGCTTCTTGGCGCGCCTGATTGGGGTCTCCAAGTTAGGCACGCAACCGCGCATGTGCATAACCTCCTCCAGTTGTCTTTTACGTACGTAATAGCTAGATGCAATTTCCCTCGCGAGGGGGGCGAGGGTGAGGGCGAGGGCGAGGGCGAGGGCGAGGGCGAGGGCGAGGGCGAGGGCCAGTGTTATCAGGCCAGACAGGCAACAACCAATCAAGGAGCCCTCTTTGTAATACTATAATCATTTTCTCTTGTTCAGTATATCTTCACTTATTCGAGATCCCAATATATCTTTGGTTAAGGTCTATTGGAGATGCGATAGAGTTTCATTTTGCCTTTCGCAGTAAAATTACGTGGAATTATATTTTTGAGGCAGCTAACTGTAGACGAATAATGTTAATTTCTTCTCTGTCAGAGGAACGCCAGTAAGGGTAGTCTGTTTTACAACAGTTATTTGGTCACGTCCCGCAACGCGCTCGCTCTCGAACTGGAAATAGAGGGCGTTGTGGGACGAGACCAAACAACAGCTGCGAAGGACACAAAGGTAAGCGTGGTACCGATGCATTTTATTTTCGCTCAAAAGTTTTTTTTATACAGTAGACACAACGGACCACAAAGAACCTGTGTGAGGGCAGATAAAGTAGGTTTTTTTTCCTTTCTGTTAAGGAGAAGTAATGCGATATTTTCGTTATTTTAAAAGTTATGCTCTTTTTCTGTTACAAAACTGAAACCGTTAAGAACGCAGAGTCCCATCACAACCCTCCCAGCCAAAATAATAAGTCTTGCATGCTAAGCATTCCTATGTTTATCTTTTTGGTAAGCGGGACATCAATAAAATTCGAATTCGGTCTTGACCATTTTTTAAACAAGAAAATGTATATACGCACTCTGGTGACATATGAGAGCTAAGGTAACCCGTACTAACCTCGCTATAGAGTAATGGTTGCTAGGTCGACCGAAATGTCCGCCATATTCTTATAGTTTATTATGTTCACTGCACATTTTGTATTGCATCGAAATTAGTACCTACAACTTTATAGCTCAAACAAGCGGATATTAAAATAAAATAGAATAAACACAGAGCTGATTCCGCTATGCGAAGAGGAAATAAATTTCCAAGTCTTTTGTATTCGTTTTATAAAGCGATAATTGGCATGTATCTCAACAGACATGAGTCCCTGGCATGGCTCTTTGCAAAAGATAACGCACCTCACGTCATCACACGTTGTTATCTAAAAAGCAATTGGACTGATATTTCTTCGCAATTGGTATTCACCATCATTTTGTTCAATCGAAACAATAAATTAACTACATGAAAATAACTGATAATTGAAAGTTTACTGTTATTACTGGTAACAGAACCATCTGTAATTTTCCTCTGCTCACAAAGCTAAAAGTTAGACATATGTATCGTGAAAACGTTAATTGATATCGTTTCAAACATATTTTCATTCATTCAAATGTTACTGTAAACTTGATTCTGACTGTCAGAGGGTTTATGTAAATCCTTTCATAAGTTCCACAAACGATATCAAATAATGTTTTTATGATGCCTAAGCGCTTCTGTTGCCGTTAGTTTCCTCAAAATAATATTAAAGAAAGCAAACAAACAGAAAAAGCAAAACAAAACAACAACAAAAATAACAACTTACCCTCGGAAATCTCACAAATATAAGCGTGCTGATATGCCATAATTATGACATTAAAACCACCAAACACGCCCTGCTCCCCATTACTGGACCGCTTGTACATGAAAGCCGCGTCGTGTTCACCTCTTGGCTCCCCTTGTTCCCATTTGCAAATAGTCAACGGTCTTCCATTCACCCAAGTCCAATTCCCGGCCTTTTTTGTTAAACCAATACTCCACTTATTTTTATAGTACGTAGTATTTCGCCTTTGAATCTGGTCATTGATGAAATTCCATTCGTCTTCGGTTTCAATGGAAACTAGGTCCCCTCCTTGGTTTTGGCAGGCTTCTCTGGCCCAGAGCCAGTTAATAGACAAGTACGATGTGCGCACCGAAATTATGTACCGAGAGTTTTTAAAAGTTATATTTGGGCATTCTACAAAATGATAAAAATAAAAGCAAAAAATACTAATTATTATAATGATAATCAAAGTGATAAATAATAATAATGATGATGACATAAAAAGATTAAAATCACAAGCACAGTAGAGGAGAAAAATAAATGAGAAAGAAAACGGGACTTATTTTTCATATAATTCCTATTTTTTAACAGTTATATGAATTTTTTATATGATTCCTGTTTTTTTTTTTTTAACACCTCCAGTTTATGTTTGCTCAGTGTCAATTAATACTATACATCTTTCTTCCTTACGGCGTCCGCCATCTCTAACCTGCTTTTCTGAAGTAGTTAACTTCACATCAGCTATGATTATCTGTGAGTTCATGTAATTTTTTGTAGTCCAGATTTGAAAATTAATTATTTCCTTGTTGAGCTGACACCACCCTCACCCCGCCCCCTATTCTTCCTCCCCCATCTGAACAGACTTAAAAAACGTAAAGTTAAATGTGAATGTAAGTTCTTATAAATGTGCAACAGCGTCACGGCAACGCTTGCTCGAGTCGCTAGCTACAACCTTAGCTTCGTTGCCTTTTTTCATAAATATATTTCGCTTTGCCAGCTGAGAAGTATTTTTACTAAAATCACTTTAAAGCAAATCAAGCTGATTAATTACTTATTAATCCTCTCCTTCTCTTTCTCAAGTCACTGTGGCTGCCGGCAAAAATAATGGTTTTGAAATGATTTTTGGTAGCAAATATGCCATTAAATGGGTTGACACGCGGCATAAAAACCGTTTGTAATTAACCTAGACCTTCACTAGAAGTAACTCAGGAAGTTAGAACGTAACGTATTTGTTTAAAATTGAATTAATTGATGGGGTTTTCATTCATTTTATATTTGAATTCGTTCAAACAATTTGTTCATTAAAAAACAGTGAGCGATATATTCAGTTCTATACTTTAAATACGCTTTCGGTAAGTCTTTGCAAGTCCGCTCAATATGGACATTTGTACCGTAAACTTCACAACAGAAAATGAAGGAATTCAACGAGAAAAAGCGGCATTAAAATTCCACTTTTGACAAAAGACCAGATTTACACACGCGATTGCACCAAGTAAACGAGCAAACTCCCTCAATCTCGAAACAGATTTAAATTTACTTACAATTACTTTCCATTTACCGACTGAACAGAGCTATACTTCGTTCATCAATAGTTGATGGAAGTGAGTAATACTTTCTGTAAGATCATTGACTGTTTTTAAAGAAAAAATTCCCGTGACAGACATTGAACTTAAGTTTGTTTGCCAAACCAGTGCCGTTGATGTTGTTGTTGTTTTCTTTTTTTAAAACGTGCATGCACTTTTGTTTCTTACACGCTCTCTACTTTACAGGTGTCAGGTTGTGACAGATACTTGTTAAAAAAAAAAGTTTCAAAGTTTGTTTGGAAGCCTTTTAAATCACCTTTTCCATTACACAAATAAAAATATTTCGGTAAAGCCTCTATTTAATTTGCATTACCTCAGTCTGTTTCAACTACCATTTACTCGTTCAAAAATTGTTCAGTTCATGGAGGATCTTGCCGTAATTACAGCCCTAAATCATTAGGGTTCTTTTGGAAAATATTTCGTTGAGTTTAAAAGAAAAAAAACTGTTATTCATAAGCTAAGGTCGGGAAAAACTGTGCACTCTGTCTTCAGTACCGGTACTCAAGACCTTGGGCATACGTACTTCGATGCGTTATGTTTAAAAGAACACGGATTCACTCACTGACGTCAGTGATCACGCCTTGTAACTTGTGGCAAGGGAAAATTCCGTTGGTTAGATTATCCCAATCTCAGCGCGCTCGACAAAAGTTGTGAAATGTACAGTTTCCATCGCTGTTTTTCCAGCTGCAGGCGATGCAAAAAAGGGAAAATCCCAGGGTGATCATTTTTTTCGAAACATATGTCCCCGTTTTTGTCATGGCCATTATGTTCAACTACTGATACACGCTTAAAAGTTCATTCGTCGCTCACACGTACAAGTTAGGTGAGCCGAGCATATTATGTGAACAACATTTTTACTTTTAAGAAGCAAGAGAAATTTTCCTGACACAAGTGCAAGACTGCAATGTTTCAGCACATAATATACTTTATGGTTGGAATGTGATCTTACCTCCGGGCATCTCGCAAATGAAGGCGTTTTTATCGTAACGAGAGATACCATTAAAGAGGCCTCCATTCTTAGATATTTCCGCGCAAGAGTCGTTACCATCTGGCTGAGAATCTCGCCATTTCGAAATACTTAGATTTTCTCCACTCGACCAAGTCCAAGTCCAATCCCCGTCTCTCTTCCTTAAACCAATGTGCCACGCACTAGTATTCGAAGTACCACGCTTTTGAATCTCATGACTGATAAACTGCCATTCTTCTTGAGTTTCGATGGAGACTAAGTCACCTCCCTGCTTGTAACAGACATGCCTGTTCTGATACCACTTTCTTCCGCTTTTCGAAAATATGTAGGATGAGTTTTTGAAACAGGTTGCTTGGCACTCTATGGGAAAAAATTAAAGGAATAAATAAACGAAAAAAAATGTATACTGATTGTAACAATAGTGATAATTCTGATGATGGAGACAAAGGAATAAATAAATAAACGAAAAAATGTATACTGATGATAACAATAGTAATAACGATAAAGATGGAGAAGAGAAAAAAAAATATACCATTAATGATAAAAAAACAATGGGCATCAAAACCTTCTACCTCACCGAAGGAAAAATTAGAATTAGGCAAGGTTTTAAAAGTGGAAATTGGGGAATCAGGGTAATAGCACCGTCAGTCTCTGACTTTTTTGTTTTGTTTTCCAACTAAAGTTTTTAATCGCAAAACGATGTCATTCCAGCAGGAAGTCTGACTAATTATTTTAATAATTCAGTCAGATCCTTTTTTTTCAGTTCATTTTAAGATACTTAAATATTAAATTGTAATTACACTGCCTCACCTGTTCCTGGCAATTCCATCATGAAATGAAGGATGACTGTAGAAGAGAAAATGGGAAAAGTATTTGATTGTTATGTCGAAAATAACATTTGAAACAACAAAAGAGTTTCTTAGATTTCAAGTTAGACTATTCGCCACAATCTACCCATGACTTTTTTATCTTCCCTAAAGAGCTGTCTAAGAAATTGAAAGAAAGAAATGCAGCATCTCCGCAACCAGCTAAACAAAACTTGTTACATATCGAAAACATTTTTAAGGATACGGTTGATCTTCGCGAATGTTCAAGGGATTCGTTTGGTTGACGTTACTCGCAGGTGTAACTAAGAAAGTATTATGTAAAGGGAAAAGGAGATGAACTAACCCCGAGCTAAATTGCCCTGAACCAGCCACAAGAAATTCACAAGATGTAAAAGAACAAACAATTGGGGGGTTATATTTGTCCCTATTCAAAACTAATCCAAATCTTTTAATGTTGAGAGCACGATTGTTTATTACCATGCGAATCCTTATATTTCATCAACCCATTGTTTAACGAGAACATATTTGCAAATTCGCAGATGCTTACTGTAAGAGCTTGGGTCTCCTGTGGTTGGACGTCAAGGTAGATCGATAAAAAAAACAACAACAGCAACAAAGAACTAACAAACATATTTCTCTTATAACGTTATCTTCTTTATACCCGAAAACAAAATCTCGAACAGGGTTAAGGTATTTTTAGTTTTTATTATTATTTTTTACATCAGGGCAATTGCGGGAGATCCATTTCAAAAAACGGAACCCCCACCGGGTTTTGCGGTTGGTATGTTGGGGAGTCCGAAAACCAAATTTCAAGGCAAACTGTATGGTTTACATTGTCTATTATCGCGTAGTAAAAAGCATGTTTTTTTTTCTTTTTGCTTACAAAGCTCTGCCAACAATGCCGACCACTAATAGAAACACAGAAGTGTCCCGCGTTGTCTCGGGAGACTCTCAGCAAAAACATATTTTGCGGATAATAGATGCCCGGACCAGACTGCTGAACGGCAATTTGGATTGAATTTTTTCTTTAACTCAAAAGCGGCTTGAGCACGCTGAGGCAGAACTCGTTAATGTTTGCTGACCGTGTGCGCGTCGCTTCAACCACGAGCCCTTATCCGTTTCGGTGAGTTTCTTGAACCGTTCCTCATCGAGTTTCCTCAATTCTTGTACTTACAGCCAGGATTCTTTTTTAGTTTCGCCTTAGGAATCTCTCCTTTTTTTTATCTGTGGCCAATCACAGTCTAGTTTTAAACGCAGACAAATAACAAAGGTCTCAACATGCAACCGAAATCAGGAGATGTTTACATGACGGATGTACTTCTAATGGGAAGTCTATGACTGATTATTGTTGTAAACTAGTGAGATATTATTTTTTCGCGGAACATTTTAAGGTATATAAATGCTGAAATTGGAATTACACTACCTCGCTGTTCCGTGCGATTTCATTTCAAATAATGAAATAATACTGACAAAATATCTTATAGCATCTAGTCGGTTTTTATTTGTTGCGCTATAGCATCCGTTTTGACGTTTTCTTTTTCCTTAGAAAGCTAACGTTTAAAATATAAAACATACAGCAGGTCGGCATCATGTCACCCTGAAGAAGCTTATTGACTGCAAAAACGACTCTTATCATACGAAAAGGACTCGAATACAATTCTGCCTCTATGAAGACTTGAGGTAAAACGTTAACTGACCGAGCAGAACTAAGAATCTAAGAATGGGAAATTCAGAGTGATATTCCCCTCTTGTTATTCTAGCGCTAATTCAAGGGGTTTGAAAGGGGTTTGATTGGTTCGCCGCCGTTACAGAAAAAGAAGCGAACTTTTTCCTTGATACGGTCGAGCACTGCTAGCGAAGATGCCATCAGAATCGCGCTTTGTAAAATAGCCCCCATCTGGTTCGAAGAAACAAAAAAATCTATAACTCAGTAAAAGAGAAAATTCATAAAATGTCATATAATAATGATAAGAATAAAAATGGGATGGAAAATACGAATTGCAAATCAATGTAGTCCATCAGTACACAACAGCCAGTCTAAAATAAAATCGATGAGTTAATTGTGGACACAATTTTAAGCTTAAGTACTCCATAGGTAATCTAGATTAATAAATTTAAATGATACACAAGACTTTTTTCGCTTTAGTGGGGTGGAATTAATTCCACAGAAGTGGTATACATACACGTTGATATTCCAAATGTAAAAAAAAAAGGGTTAGTGAACACATATGGCACTGCCGGCTTTAGTTTTACCACGGTTAGAAACAAAGCTTTCAGTTCCTTTGATCTTTGTGATCGCGCGGACCGCACTTCATTTTAAAAACTTCGTGATTGTTTCGCACTGATTAATTGTTTTTAAATCATCTTGAATCGTGTTGTGGCAAAAACTATATAAAAAAATTTTAAAACTCCGCGAAAAAGTTTTTGAGTGTTTGCCACCCAAGAAGTATAGTGAAACGGAAACGATACTGGTGACTCTATCTTGTCAATGCTCTGAAATAACTTTTTTCTAGATTATTTAGAACGTACTACTGGAGCCAGGGTACCAGGCAAGGGTCACATGCCGACGAAGCGACAGTAATGGCAACAGTCAGTATTAAAGGGAATGTCATTTTTCCGTTCTGTGTCCATACGGGATCGGTCTAAGTGCGCGATGTGACCAGGTACACTTGAAAATACCGGGTGAAATTTCCCAGTTGTTCGTAATGTTGTTCTGCTTATTCAAGGCACGACAAAAAAGACAAAAAAAGACAAAAAAAAAAGAAGAAGAAGAAAAAAGAAAACAATCTGTGTTTTTCATGGAGTCGAGCATTACCAGCAAACAGAAAAAAAACGTTTTCGACCAAAGATGTTGATAGCGCTTGCGTGCTGCAAAAACTATTATTTGAAGAATAATACGCAAAACAGGTTCGATCTATTATCTATCTTTTTCCTTTGATTTTGTTTACTTGAAGCTCAAAACTAATATGAAAATGATAGAAAATTGCGGTGAAAAATGACAAAGACTCGGTTTGTAACTGTGCCTCGAATTAACCGGGATGGGCACTGATTGCTTTGGGCAACGACTTCACATACTTGGAGCAAAGCAAATTCCCTGAATTTCCCTAACTGCCACTGACGTTTTAAGGTAATTCCGTCATTCTCATTATCGGGAGGTCAAACGTATGTATTAGACATTTAATTTAAATTCAAAAAGTTCAAAATTGTCACTTCTCGGAATAGATAACTTTAAATAAATACACCCTATTCGATGAGGGAGTTTTACAAGTTGCGTGGGATTATTTCAAGTCAAGAGAGTGCCGTTGAGGAACCATTTAAGTATTCTTTATGACCATCAGAAAAAAGTCTGGTGTGCTTAGAGACTTTTTGCTTGAAAAATAACCCAAAGGGAAAAAAAAAACCTGACAACAGCATTAATTTCGGTTTGTTGGGTGCAACCTTTTTCTTGTTCCGCTTTCCGTCCGTATTTTCGCGCTGTTGTATAATTGAATACTGTGGGAAATTGGGCATGGCGTAGTAGTGGAGTGATAAAAAGGTATATTTTGCAACAATGAATTAAACGACGAGAACCTCTTAAACTGAATCAATCTGTTCTATATCTAGATTTATAACTTTGAAACTATGCTTAGCGAATTCTTTGAAAACAAAACTTTTGACATTGATGTTTAATTTGTCATGAGATCGATGAAAAGCATGAAGACAGTGCTATGTTTTATTTTCTCTTTTTCTGACTGGGGTGGAATTTATTAATTAACAGTCTGTAGGGTTTTGGCGTCCGTTTAAAGAATAACTTTCTACAACTGAAGCCGATAAAAATTCAAGGAAGCGGGGAGTTAATTAAAAGGGAAATAAAAGGTAGACCCGTCAAAAGCCGAACTATCCCTGACGGCATTCATTGTTTGAAACCCTTGTCCAAACTTGCCTTCTTTTTACCACAGTTATTGTTTTCTATGTAGCGTGTTTATATAATAAGCTCAAATGCAACTCCCATCTCTTTTCGTGCAAGATTGTTGAAGCAAAACGTCTGAATAAGTTTTAGTCTACGAACTTAATTCGTTTTTTCGCGAAAGAGTTCTTACATGGTTTTTGTGTATTTCTTGATGACATCTTGTCACACCAACTTCAGAATTGAAGGTAGGCAACTATGCTATTATGTTCCTGAAACCCTTCATAATATTTCTGAAAGGTTTTGCACTAAACGTCAATTGAGCAAAACAATCTTGAATTAAAACTACCATTTTAATTTTAAAACCGCAAAACTGTTTAATCGTGATCAACTGTTTCCAAATATTATTTTAAAGTATTATTAAACTTAAGAACTCAGAGTTCAGCTTACTTGAATGAGAGAGCCTAATAGATGCCACCGAAATATCACCCTATTTCCGGTTGGATTTCGCTTGGGGTTACAGGGTGTTCCAATAACGAGATATTTATGTTTAACAAGTCATTATTTACTAAACATTTTTATAGAAGAACAACACGATGTATTATCAGTTGTACTTACTCAGGGCACAGTGTAAAAACAGGGCTGTGAACATTTTTCCGGATTGAAGCCCACTCATCGCCTAATTCTTCAAGCTTATGATACACAGAAGTTGCCCTTAGCATATGCCAGTATGCTTATGTTATATGGTTCTTCACTTGAAAACAACGCCAATGCGATAGGTTGTGTACCGTATTAAAACTCTTTTGAAGGAGGTAATAATGACATATGATAATACTCGGTCGCTTCTCAATGAAATAAGCCACCACTATTTTTTTCCTTCATAAAAGGACCAATGAGACTAAAGGCTTTTTCTACCGGGTGCGGAGTAATGGTGCGCCTCATCAAAATAAGAAATACTATATCAAAATAGCTGTATTAGTTTACATTTTCTCATAACCCAGAAATAATAAACTAATGAAACACGTTTTTAAGAAAACTGGTGCAGGAAACATGTTTTAAGTTAGTTTGCTTTTGTAGATCAGTATTTTGCCCACCGAGAGTTTTATCGAGTATTTC